AATTAGTTCATGCTTTTGTCGTTTCATCATGTTTCAATCTTTACCTCAGCTGGGGTTGCAGAGTATCAATTTAAACATGTACATAATGAATCAAACTTATGCCTGTCTACTTAATAGCGGACACTTCAACAGTCGGGCAAAAAAAGTATACACTTGAAAACTAGATTATTTAAAAGTTACAAACGTTAGAGAGTAGAAACAGTTGTTGAAAACCGCAGCTATGGTCCAAAAGTACAAGGTTACATTGCCCCAGAACATCGCCATCAACTAACCATATCTTATTTTTTCAGTTTTAGCTGCTATCCAACATATTTGAATATTTTTCTTGGCCCAGCAGATATTATCTCAGCTGAAGTGTATCCTACATAGGATCATAGAAATGTCGAGTTTTATGTTTGTTCATTGTATAATCTTTATACTGTAGCGATGCATGGGCGAGTATACCAAAGGACCAATATTCAGGCACGGGCTGTAGGTAAAGCAGACACGACAATAATACGAATAGAAATTAATATAATTGTGCAAAGCATGTCACCGCGTTTTTGCTGAAACTAGGAATTTGATTTAATCATTGTGTGAAAGGATTAATGGTATAATTAAAGGGATTATGTCGAGCGTGAGGAGCTCTGATAGTTTAGTTTGACAATGAAATCCGGCATGAAGGGAAAGTTTGACGTCACACTCGGTAAATAGTTCATGCATGGTTTAAAACACACAAAAGTGTTACATTAAAGCCTTCACAAGACCCACCGAAAGCAGGTACGATTCAATAGAGCACACTTATGGGTGTAAAACGGGTGTTGATAAAACGTGATTCATAATCAGGGTCGTGTTTGTCGTAAGAGGCGACTGAAGGGATCGGGTATCCCGATTGAGTAGATGATGCTCATGATGTTGATCACTGTATTGTCTGGTCCAGACACGATTGTTTACAGACCGCCGCCATATAGATGGAATATTGCTGAGTGCAGCGTAAAACTGAACTCACTCACTCATAATTAAGGTGAATGTGGGATTCGAACCGTTAACCGCCGGACTCTTGCAAGGTGACGTTAGGACTGATTATCAGCAACCCTTGCTTGTCGTGACAAGCCACTAACGTCATCTGGTTGGGGCGGTGGGGTAGCCTAGCGGTTAAAGCGTTGGCTCGTCACGCCGAAGACCCGGGTTCGAATCCCCACATGGGTAAAATTTCTGGTGTCCCCCGCCGTGATGTTGCTGGAATATTGCTAAAAGCGGCGTAAAACCAAACTCAGTCAGTCAGTCAGTCAGTTATCTGGTGGTCACTTGGTTGACACATGCCATCGGGTCAGTGTTACGTAGATTGATGCTTATGCTATCAATCACTGCATTTCCAGACTCGAATATTTACAAACCGCCGTTATATAGCTAGAATTTCGCTGAGTGCGGCGCTAAACAGCAAACAAGAAACCAAACAACAGCATGACGACATTAGATGCCCCGGACGACACCCACGTCTTCTCAGAGTAGTAGACAGTAGACTGACTGACTGAGTTTGGTTTTACGCCGCTTTTAGCAATATTCCAGCAACATCACGGCGGGGGACACCAGAAATGGGCTTCACACATTGTACCCATGTGGGGATTCGAACCCGGGTCTTCGGCGTGACGAGCCAACGCTTTAACCATTAGGCTACCCCACCGCCCAGTAGACAGTAGATGTTTAGGAGGAATGAGAGAAGTCATCTCTCTCTTTCAACACGATAAATGTCTCACTTGTATTGCCAAATGACTCCAGCTATTTGCAACCCTTTAAAGTATCGGGTCGAAATGTCCCAGTGCGTGAGCCTCGAAGCGCAACGTGCATGTGTGTAGAATGTCACTCGGCAAAGACAGACTCCTCACGCCTCGCGTTGTAGGTACTGACAGTGATCCACAGTGATAACACGCAGAGATGGTTGTATTGTGGTGAAACTGATCCAGGTGATAAACAGGTCATATGATGGGTAAACGAGATCTGTAGTAAGGCGCAAATAAGTAAACAACGTTTGTTGGGAGGCGTAAATACGTGAGCAATATTTGTAGTGAAGTGTAAACAGGTGAACATCACTTGTAGTGAGGTGTAAATAAGTAAACAACGTTTGAGTGAGGTGTAAATAAGTAAACAACGTTTGAGTGAGGTGTAAATAAGTAAACAACGTTTGAGTGAGGTGTAAGTAAGTAAACAACGTTTGAGTGAGGTGTAAATAAGTAAACAACGTTTGAGTGAGGTGTAAATAAGTAAACAACGTTTGAGTGAGGTGTAAATAAGTAAAACAACGTTTGAGTGAGGTGTAAATAAGTAAACAACGTTTGAGTGAGGTGTAAATAAGTAAACAACGTTTGAGTGAGGTGTAAATAAGTAAACAACGTTTGAGTGAGGTGTAAATAAGTAAACAACGTTTGAGTGAGGTGTAAATAAGTAAACAACGTTTGAGTGAGGTGTAAATAAGTAAACAACGTTTGAGTGAGGTGTAAATAAGTAAACGGCGTTTGAGTGAGGTGTATATAAGTAAACGGCGTTTGCGTAAGGTGTAAATAAGTAAACAACGTTTGAGTGAGGTGTAAGTAAGTAAACAACGTTTGTTGGTAGGCGTAAATAAGTAAACAACGTTTGTAGGTAGGCGTAAATAAGTAAACGGCGTTTGAGTGAGGTGTATATAAGTAAACGGCGTTTGCGTAAGGTGTAAATAAGTAAACAACGTTTGTTGGTAGGTGTAAATAAGTAAACAGCTGCAGCGTTTGGGCAAGTTTTTGCGGTAGTGTGGAAACAGTAGACCACGTTTGGTCAAGGTCTTGGGGTAGTGTGGAAACAGTAGACAATGTTTGGTCAAGGTCTTGGGGTAATGTGGAAACAGTAGACAGCGTTTGGTCAAGGTCTTGGGGTAGTGTGGAAACAGTAGACAGCGTTTGGTCAAGGTCTTGGGGTAGTGTGGAAACAGTAGACAGCGTTTGGTCATGGTCTTGGGGTAATGTGGAAACAGTAGACAATGTTTGGTCAAGGTCTTGGGGTAATGTGGAAACAGTAGACAGCGTTTGGTCATGGTCTTGGGGTAATGTGGAAACAGTAGACAATGTTTGGTCAAGGTCTTGGGGTAATGTGGAAACAGTAGACAGCGTTTGGTCATGGTCTTGGGGTAATGTGGAAACAGTAGACAGCGTTTGGTCATGGTCTTGGGGTAATGTGGAAACAGTAGACAATGTTTGGTCAAGGTCTTGGGGTAGTGATGAAACAGTAGACAGCGTTTGGTCATGGTCTTGGGATAGTGTGGAAACAGTAGACAGCGTTTGGTCAAGGTCTTGGGATGGATAGGGTTAACTGGTTCCCCGGGTGGTCAGGTAATCTGGATGATCTACGGTGATTTGGGCCAAAGTTGCACTGTCAAGCTGGCTTCTTTGGAAATCTCACACATATTCATAATAATAATGGACTTTGTGATAGTGGGGTGTCATTGTGAGACGCTTCGCTGAATGTACCCATCAGTGCCCAGCCCCGCGACGTTTGATTGATGCTGTAGGTGGATTACCTCGCCTGGTTTAACACCTAGCTGTTTGTTGTGCAGAGATGCGTTCGGGCATGGCTGGTGTTATACCCACAGTTAGCTGTGAGCCGTGCTGTTACTGAAATGATGTTGACACCGGCTTAAAAGAAATTCACTCACTCAAACGCTTACTCCCTAAACCAGTTATCCATCCACACAAGCGCCGACTCATCTTCCGATTCACTCTACTCCACTCCCTCACTGTTACTGGCTCACTCGGGGCGGTGGGGTAGTCTAGTGGTTAAAGCGTTGGCTCGTCACGCCGAAGACCCGGGTTCGATTCCCCACATGGGTACAATGTGTGAAGCCCATTTCTGGTGTCCCCCGCCGCTTGCTCAACCATACACCCCCACCACCCCCCGGCCCACCCACTCACTCACTCATCCACCCATCCAAAACCCATTCACTCACCCACCCACTCAAAACCTACTCACTCACTCACTGACTCACACACCCAAAACCCACTCACGCACTCATTCCACTGTTCACTCATTCACTCACCCCAGCAAAACCGACTCACGCACTCAAACACTCACTCTTGCACTCAACCGCCGCCATATAGCTAGAATATTGCTGAGTGCACTACAAGACACACTTACAAAACACACTCACTCGCTCATCCAACTATCCACTCACTCACTCGCCCAAAACCCACTCACTCATCCACTCATCCCACCCAAAACCCACTCAATCACTCAACCACTCACTAAAACACTCACTTCCTCGCTCATCCAACTATCCACTCACTCACTCACTCACCAAAGTATCCACTCACTACCCACTCCTTCCCCCACACAAAACCACCTTGTTTTAATGCTGTGCATCGACCAAGCCGCTCATGCATGATGTCATCCAGTTATGGCGATACCATATGTTACCTGCTTTCAAAACTGTCGAGGTATTTGAAATGTTTCAACATTCTGCCTGTTAGATAGCATCGGTATGAATGTGCTGTGTGATAGCTTCTGTCCTGACCATCAGCGAAACATCAGATAATTACCCTTATCAATGTTCTAATCCCGTGTCGTTGTGCCAAACAAGATGTGAGGAATAAATACATGAAGCTGACAGAGGCTGACGTCAGCAGCACTACAACCATATTACGACAATCCCGAAAGGGGTCGTACCTGTGTCAGGTAAACTCGTGATCAAGAGTGTGAACACACAGTACACTGCGCTTGACTCTTGATTGGCCAGTGACGAAGTCCTTCGAATACTAGCAACAGCGTTGCTGCTGATCACTGGATTTTCTGGTCCAGACTCGATTATTTACAGACCGCCGCCATATAGCTGGAATATTGCTGAGTGCGGCGTAAAACTAAACTCACTCACTCACTCAAAAAAGGATAACGGGTTGTCTTGATCACGTACATTGTGTACCCCTCTGACAAGTGTAAATTGGCACGGCTCCCACGGCCGAAACAATATTGCCGAAACGGTTGATGATAAGGGTACTCACTTGACAGGAAAATCGCACTTTGGCGCTATCCTTGAAGGTCCTCCATCGTTCGCTCGGTGGGTAGAAGGTGGGGACGAGGTACCACTGGTGGGGGAAGTACTGGGAGAAAAGGCGGTCGTACTCCCCATGCCACACCAGCTCCATCCTGCAACACAGTAGAACCGTTAGATGTACACAGCATGTACATTGCATGTATATAACATGTATATGGTCAGTTGGCAGTGCGTGTGTATTGCATAATAATGCAGTTGACTGTATATTGCAAATGTTTAGATCACTACTGCATTTCCAAAATTGTGTTCAACCCTCAACAGTATCAACTGCATCAATTTTGTTTTAGGACACATAAAACTCACATATACTGGCGTACAAAAGAAAGTACACACCTGGTGTATTGAGACTATTCCCAAATAAACAAATGTTTGCTAGCAACAGTGTAATTAGGTACGATATCTGATGTTACTGCAACACGTACACAATGTTTATGACTTGTAAGTCACAATCAAAACACTTTCCTAATTTTAACGCTGTTTTTAAGAAAATATGTTACCAAAGCATCAGGTGTGTACTTTCTTTTGTGCGTCAGTTTATAAAGTGATTTCGCCATAAACTAGACAATATGCAAACATCCGTGCAGAAAAAAATTGTCTGTTGACAATAAGTATCAAGAGTATCTAAGTACAATGAGTATAACAGACAAGTATATCCGAATATTACGTTTTTGATCCCACTCACTGTCTGTGTCATAGCAATATGCATTTGTAAAAATTGTCAATTTACTCTAGGCGCCTGGCCTCTTCGCCGCTGAACTGATTGCTTCATTCATTTACTGAAGATTTGACAAAACATGGAAGTGGCTGCTATCACGAGGAACTATCCACACCGTTGGACATTAAAAGTTACTCAGAATGGTCAAGCCAGGTCAATGTTCATTCGGCCTTCACGAACAGCCTCATGGAAATTTATGAATTCTGATTGTAATCATGGACACTCTGTAGCATACATGCAAATATGACAACATCGTCACACAACGAAACTGACGGCATATTTGAAAGTTAGTACGTTTTGTCCAAAATGTGTATAATTGTTCTTTATGTCAATGCCACACTGATGGTTAAATGTAACACAGGAAGCGCATTAATCATTCATCTTACAGACGAGTGAGTATCGTTTAACACGGTTTGGAGCTGATGTCCAGTTCCACCACGGTGTGTGAGGTTGATGTCGGGAAACCTGAAGTGTGGCAGCTCCCAAATGTTCACTGATTCGGTGAAAACCGTGAGCATTGGTAGCAGCTGACAGTGAAACAATGTCCGGGCGAACGGTGATTCGAACCCGTGTTTTGTTTCTGTCGTACCCAAGGCACACAGTTCTACACAGCGGGTAATATATGTATGGGCCCTTTGTTCGCACTCTTCCCCGCCCCACCTCCTAAACTTCATCCCTTTTCTCCGTCTCCCCTTTCATCCATATCTCTCCCCCATAATTTCTTCCCCATGACACTCAACACACACACACACACACACACACACAATCACACACACACACACACACCCGGTATAATGTTAATCGTGCTCGTCAAATAATTGTCTATTAACTTTATGTTTTAACAATATTCATTGTGTTTAGGCACAAACTGTGGCCTCGCTGTTATCATAGAGCGAAGAATGACCCAAGTTATGCATATTCCATTATCTGGAAGACTATCTACATACAATCACTATCACACATCACAGGAAACAGCTGCCGGTAAATTTGCATAATAGAATAATTATTAATTCCCCTGTTCACGTCAGCTTACTAGTGTCATTACAACCAGCTGTTAGGAATGTACGATATTTTGAAAACGGCTTGACATTGGTGTTATTGGTACCAGAATTTTGTGGCTCTTCAGTGTACTGATAACAGGCCTCTGTTCTCTCAACGAGTACTGGTATCTTGACAACTAGTCTCATTTAACTACATAAGAAGGTGCTTACTTGTCGCTGTAAGGAAATTTACAATATGGTTTATTATATATAGACAGTGACATTTCCACTGTAGGTAGAGGGTGTTTATGGTCGTGTATATAGGTTTAGGCTGGGTCTTGGTGTAGCATTGTCCCGTCACAACCAACAAACCTACATACGTACAACTGTACGTTCAGTGTAATATATCATATATGAGTCATCTTGGTAAAGCCTTGCAAAAAATGTGTGAACTGATCAGCTAACAGTATCGATAATCGATATCGGCACTGATTGATGACACGTTACGTGTTAGTCCAGCCTAAGTGGTCAGGAACATGTTCGAATCATGTTTGAACAAGTAATGTTTTAACCAGGCGGGACGTTCCACAAAACTGTCTTAGCGCTAAGGTTATCTGAATCCCGTTCTTAAACACGGCTCACGGCAGTATTAGCGCTGAGATCGATTTGTGTCGATTTGTGTCCAGGAGCCATATTGATCTCGATATTCACATTCAGCAGCAGAAGTTCTGTAGCTAATGAAGACATAACGATTTCTGTAAGGTGACAGTTTTAAGATCCCTCAGTGCACCAACAAGAAGATTTACATGTACTGAACAGTCACAGGTTGGAATCATAAAAAATATGGTTGTTATATATTTTAATTGTGAGTTCACTTTTCACAACCGAAATATTTACTATCCGTTATTCTTTTCAGTATAATAACAGTGAGTGAGTGAGTATGGATTTACGCCGCTCTTCAGCAATATTCCAGCAATATCACAGAAAATGGACTTCACACAATTTACCAATGTGGGGAATCGAACCCGGGTCTCCGGCGTGATGAGCCAACGCTTTAACCACTAGGCTACAACACCGCCCCAATATAATAACTGTAAATATGGTTTGTATCGGAACAATAAACATAAACAAAAAGGAAAAAATGCTTGGCCTCAAACAATCTTAGCTTCCTTCAAATGCTTGTTCTATTAAACGAACCCTACTTGGCTGTGATATATTAGAGTATTAGTGCGGAGGATGTCAAGCTGACTCTGCTAGTTTTTACACCTGCAATTGTTTATTATCACCTGAAACTAACTTCACCGCTAACCGACTGAACAAAAAATATCTGACAAGTGAAATTTGTTGGATGGAAAACTTGGAAATCTATTTTTTCATTGCGGGTCATCATTGGTACTGTTTTCTATGTTCGGGTTTAGAGATAACGTTACAGCTACTGACAAGGCCGAGCGCCTGAGTTGTGTTTAACGGTGCCATCTCCCAGTTTAGGTTCGATTCCGATATGCACCGATTTTGTTTCTAAGTTTGCCTGCACCAAATCCTTTTTCGTTGGTTTTACTAAAAGGGGGGCGGTAGGGTAGTCTAGTGGTTAAAGCGTTCGCTCGCCACGCCGAAGACCCGTGTTCTATTTCCGACATGGGTACAGTGTGTTAAGCTCATTTCTGGTGTCCCCCGCCGTGATATTGCTGGAATATTGCTAAGAGCGTCGTATAACAAAACTCACTCACTCACTACTAAAATGGTAACCTAAGACCAGCATCGATTTGGACTTTCTTAAAATCAACTGATAAACCTTGGTATTATTGGATAACTGGAATATCCTTCAATGAGGCATTAAAACCCCTTTCGCTCAGTTGAACACTCTTTTTTACATTAATTTAGTAATTATTAAGTAGTCCGACGTGGTGTACTCGGTAAAACACTCCAGACCGGATTTGCTGCTTGCAAACCAAGGATCATTATCTGTTAGGGACAAGAACTCAGCCAACCAGCCCAAACTGTCAACCGCCACTCCAACACGCCTATTCAATGTACCTGTTGTACATAATCCCATGTACTCACGCTTGAACGCTCAGAATGACCAGTGTTTAACACCATAGTATAAAATGTGGCCATGTTTCATCGCTTGTCACACGGATGTCGCAGCGGCATGTGTTGACAGTTTCAAGCAGAGCGTTACGAGGGGTCCCCCCCTCCTCACCGCGTCCAGGTCACGGGTCAACGCACGTGAAAGCCGGGCCGCTGGTACATCGGTTGCAGTGAAGATAAATGTCCATTGATATATACATTAACATGAGACTCCACCATAGACATGGGGAGGTCTCCTTGTTGAAGCCGATGCATGGCGTGATTCGTGTAACTTATACCTTCTGTACCTACCGTCACCACGTGGAGATTCTCTGTCTGTCTGTACAGGCTGATCACAGACATCGACTGTCTGACTGTCTGTACAAACATACTATACATGGACTTCGTACTGTCTGCCCAAAGATACTGTACACCAACAGTCTGGCTGTCCAAACATACTGTACACCGACTGTTTGGCTGTCCAAATATACTGTACATGAACTGTATGACTGTCTGACCAAACATACTGTACATCAACTGTCTGTCTGTCTGTCCAAACAGACTAATGTATACACCCACAGTCTGAACCCTGTGAGTTCGTTATAACCGAAGTATACTGAATGTGTCAGTGAATTAAATTCATTATATTCATGTACACCGACCACCACTTCTGCAAGGTTTTGGGGGCGATGAGGTAGCCTACTGGTTAAAGCGTGCGGTCATCACGCCGGAGACCCGGGTTCGATTCCCTGATATTCACAGTTCGTTATATCCGTCAGTTCGTTACAAGCGAGTTCTTTATAACCCTAGTTTAATGCACTGTCTGTCTCTTCACACAATCTAAACAGTAAAAAGGTCACTTGCTGTCTGAGTGTAAGTTAAGACACGCTTTACTGCTACTATATGACTGTCTGAGGTTTCACGGTGCATACATCCTATCGGTTATGAGTGTAATTCAGGTCTGTTAGTGCTAAAATTAAATACACTCACATAATTTCAGGAAAACAGTTCAAAAGGTCGTTAAGATCACGATCACACATCAAGGTCATTCGAGTCATTGCTTGCATCCGGAATGTATTTTGTAATAGCGGCGTCACGGATCGAATAGCTTCAAAAGGCTTTCGCAACTAAAATACCTGACAAAACCAACACAACAAAATGCGTACCTAGAACGTGAAACCACAACACCGATAAAATGATTTCAAAAGACGCAGGTCCATGCGGTTAGATCGTAACAAAACAGAGGTTTCTTATACCCGCAATATGAGAAGTATGGTACGTTCAGTGTCCTACATACCATCTTTTCTAGAATATCTGACTATTGTACCAC